TTGAGCTTCTTGCAGTTCTCTGCGGTATGAAGCTGTTGGAAAAATCTACGACCCAAGCCCTCCAGAGGTCTACGTATGTCGGGGTTTGCAGGCGGGCATTGAAACCTCATGTTGCGATCTCACGACGTTTAAGTCCCGCCAGCTGGGGATGGAGTTCACTGGGCCGATTCTGCTGAGCTTTAGGGCTTCAAGGCACCTAGCTTAAGCTTCAAGCTCAACACTGAAACAGGACAGGTGAAATCTCCAGACTGCTGCCATAATCAAGCACCCAGAAGCTGATGGCATCCGGCAGGATTTCCATGGCCTCAGCAAGCTCAGAATCCGGCCAAACCCACGTGTCACGGACCGTGCACATCACGACGAACAGACTGAGGACCTGACGGGCATCGCGTCCTAAGATGAGGGCACAGTGGACTCTGTCATGGGGCCAGTGTGTGCAGCCAGGGCACAAGAAGTGCCAAGCCCTGAGGCCAAACGTCCACGCACGCACTGGCTGCAGCATTCCACCCGATGCTACTCCTCAGGGAGACATAGCCGAAATGAACCTCAAAAAGGATCTGAGCCCTCCGTCCATGACAAGGGGCGAGCTGCGAGCACCCTGGCCCCACCGGAGTTGCTGCAGCGCGTGACGCCATGAGCGGCTCTTCTCACAAGCACCTGACCAGCAGAGCTCTGGCACTAAAGCCACCGAACAAACGAGCTTTTGTGATCTCAAGCGCAACTCGTGCAACTGCTGTAGCTGTTCGAGCAGCTTCTGCAACGGCAGTCAAGGAAAGATACTGCTTTCGGAGGAACAGCAACCCCAGCTGTCAGGATGACTTCCGTTTCTGGTGCCAGGCCGCTCAAGAGTGTGGAGCCACTGATCTCGTTGGGAGTCAGAGCGCGACCCGGCATCCCCGCGATCCTGGTCACAGCAGTCGCAAGAAACGCGGGCAGTGGTGGCTCCATGAAGTCTCCCTTTCGAGCTAAGGCTGGAGGTGCGGCCACATATTTGCGGATCCTCCGAACCACTAAGCGAATCTTGCCACTGCTACAGGACGGCGTCTCGCAGTCTTAGTGGGTATGTCCTCGCGTCCTATGCAGCTGCATCAACAGAGATCTGGCAAAACAAGACTAGGAATTGAAGGCCTTTGAGAAGCGATAGTTCCGTTAATGACTCTTTCTGGTTGAGACAAGTCGCACATGCGCGGCCAACTGCCACTGATGGCCACGGACAGCGGACTTCATGACAGTGTTCATGCCTCATCTGGCTCAACGAAGCTTTCGATTCGAGGACTAGGGCGGGACACAGCTGCTACACCAAGTAGCAGACATCATTCGCTTGGGCCGCGGAAGACTGAAGCAGACCTCAAGACGCAGCGTGACAGGAAGGTACCAGCCAGGCCAGTCCAAGCATAGCGCCACAAAGCCAGGTTTCATACCACCACCGCAAAGCCTTTGAGTGCCCTACCCAAGCAAAAACTACTGCAAGATCCAGGACAAATCCTCCAAGTCCAAACCCAACTACCTTCCAAGCGAAAAGCCAAACGAGGTCGGTCTGAAACCTCAAAGCGGGAGATCAATGCAAGAGCAGGTGACAACTCACCCAAGCAGACCCTGAATTTCCCCAAACCCCGAAACAAGACCCTTAAGGCTTATGTACATTTACATACTTAAGCTTCAGAAGCCTCTGCTGCAGTGGTGCTGAGCAAACTCGCGTCAAGCCGCCAGCCAGCTCTCCCCATCACAGTGCCGAAGCCTGGAAGGCTTCGAGATCTCTGCTTTCTGTGGCCTTCGACGAGGTTTTGGAGGCCCGGGCATGTCTTGGCTACGGTCTTGGTAAATGGGGCACCTGCTGCGGATGGTGATGATGGTGACGACGAAGCGACGAAGAGGATAGTAGGGGTGGCGATGATGACGATGATGACTGATGCCATAAAGGAGACGGTTCTGATGCCGCTGACGGTGACGGTCATGATGGTGACGATGGTGGCAGTGTTGATGGCAATCGCGGCAGTGGTGACTCTGATGTGCATGGTCATGGCGATGGGCACCATGATGCTGGGTCACCATGTCGTCAACTTCGCCGTGGATTTAAACATTTCCACCAAGGTCACAACCACTGTGGTCGGCATTCCCACCGTAGTGTTCGCTGGTACTCTATCGTGCACATGTTGCTGCAGACAACACTGCCGAAGCTGTCGCGTTTGATTGCGACCATAAAGATGTAAGTGTGCTGTGCTCTCGCCACTGGCTCTGCTGCTGTTGTGCTTGATGCTAGCATTGCCGTTGTAGCTTTGCTCTGTACCCTTCCAGGAATCCTTGCTGGCGATTCTTCGGATAGAGATGGAAAGTTGAGCATAAGTCGGATGTTGCAACAAAGCAAGAGTCCAAGTCACTGCTGCTGGCTGCAGGGCATGTGTATCAGCGGGCCTGGTAATGGCTGTGAGGCCTGATGCGACTCCAATGATGACGATGAGGGCTATGCTGAGTACAGTGGTCATCTTCATCATCACCACTGATGGTCATTCATGTGGGACGTTTTGGCAACCATGACTGCTCTGATGATGGTGATGATGATGATGATGTTGATGATGATGATGGTTATTTTGATGATGATGACGATGATGATGATGATGGTGATGATGATGGTTATTTTGATAATGAGGGTCATTGTGACGGTGATGGTGACAGTGACGATGATCATGTTCATGATGATTCATGATGGTGATGATGGTGATGATGATGATGATGATGAGCACGACTATGCCTATGGTACTGATGCATAAAATGGCGCTCGGCATTCTAAATAACAGGTGTGGAGGCAGAAGGACGGATAAAAGGCATAGCCATCCTGTAACCGCCAAGCCGAAAGTCGCGGACCCTAAACCCAATCTTGCGCACTCAATCCAAAAGTTAATGCTCAGGCCCAAACCCCAAACCCTCAGGAACCCCTAATCCTCCTAATCCCGAACCCTGAACCCCAAGCCCCAAGCCCCCACCCTCAACCCTGAAAACCAATAAAACCCGACTGAGAGTCGAGCTCACGAGGCTGCGCTGCAAGGACCGGCTGGGCGCCACGGTAAACATCACCAGAGCCTCTTAGACTTTTTAGGGTTTAGGGTTTAGGGTTTACTCTTGGATTTAGGGTTTAGCGTTAATCGATACGGTGGACATAGCATGCACACGTGAGGAAGATTGGAAGGCCGATCCTCCAAAGCCCCAGTCTCCCGTATGAAAAACAAACATCGTTTTAGAACGTCTGAAAGAATCTCTGCTTTCCTCAAACATGTACAACTCAAGATCTTGAAGCGTGCTGTTCCAAAATATTTTCAATTCAAGATGCCCTCTACACTCCCAGCCTGTGACCAGTGCTTTTCTGCTGCCAAAGAGGCCATCACCTCAGGCAGGAGTTGACTTCAGGACCGGAAGATTTAGTTTTTTGAGTTGCTGTTTTGAATTTTTCCACCTACTCTTACTGTTAATGGGTCAAATCTGCGGTACCAGGAGGGGCCAGTCATAGGGGCCTCTCTTTACCAGGGGAAAGACAAGGTTAAAAGCAAAAACCTGAACCGGGACCTGTTCCGGGCTTGCTGGGGTGGGGGGCTGTCGATTCCAAGGATTCACGGAGCTTCCACGCGTCTTTCTGCAGCTGCGGCTCCGTGTTCAGGTGGATCATGTTGATGCGCAGGGCGAGGCGCTGCAACTCGTCCAGAAAACGGCGAGCAGAAGGAGAACCTTTCTCCTGCCATCAAACTAGCACAGGCTTGAAACCGCACACTCGAAGTTCGGAAACCCCGACTCTTCAAAAGCTGGCGGAGGATATTGCAAACTTGCCTTCACTCGCTGACCATCTCGCTGACCTACACTGCGCTTTGAAACGACACGCCACCACAGCGTGGAAAAACCACGTTCAGAAGTACGTTTACTACATCCTGACCACCGAACCCAAATCTGAAAAATCTGCACAGGCTCCGTTTGTCTCCCCAGGGTCTCTCCTGCGCCAGCCTTCGCAATTGCGCTGTGGCTCTCTTCGGGCTAGACCGAAGGCACTCCTCCATGCCCCGTTCATGATGATGATGGTGGTTGTGGTAATGGTGAAGGTGCTGGTGGTGGTGACGGTGACGGTAACGGTGACGGTGCTGGTGCTGGTGCTGGTGCTGGTGCTGGTGCTGGTGCTCGTGCTCGTGCTCGTGCTGGTGCTCGTGCTCGTGCTGGCGCTGGCGCCGGCGCCGGCGCCGGCGCTGGCGCTGGCGTTGGGGCTGGTGGTGGTGGTGCTGGTGGTGATGATGATGACGGTGATGAGCTCTGCCCAGGCACCGGCCATGTGCAAGAAGCAAGAAAAGCAATGGTGCGCAATGATCGTGTCTCTCGGCACCGATTGTTTAGATCCGGTCGGCAACAAACAACCCTATCAACAAATGCAACACGTGGAACCCACAAGAACAAGTTGGCATCACCACAGGGAAACAGGTGAGAACATTCGACGACGATGATGATGAGGATGATGGTGGTATTGGTGATTACAGCAACGCATGTCGATAAACTACATCCTTCTAGACTAGTAGCCATACCCATCTATGCTTCATCACAAGGAGCACTTTTGGAGCAAATGTTGAAAGTGGTTCCATGGGGTATGTCATCTGCGCATGGGCGACTGTGGCACAAGCACCCGAAACCCGAAACTCAAACCTTGAAGTTGATCCACACCTCCCAACCGCCGTCTCCCAAGATTGAGGTTGATAGGTACCACCGTACGACCCAGGGAAAGTCCTGCGTCGCCGGTGCGACGCCGTGCGAAAGTGGCATGGCCAACACAAGCCCCAGGTTTTGAGCATACGACGAGAGGAAGCTTCGAAGATGAACAGACGAGGTAGAGTCAGGGTTAAGGGAAATCAGATCGAGCTTAGGCTTTGGGATCTTGCTGAGTCTTGGAGCATGGCAGAAGGTCTCTATCTGGAGTTCCTCAGAGCCGTCATCTGAATTTGAAGACCGCTGCTCAAGTTGCTGCTGCAACTTCTCCTAGCGTCTACTTGCGACGTGCTGAGCAGAAAACACTGCTTATCGGGACCTACTGGCACTTGGGAACTTCAAAACAAGGCTACCTACCCCTCCCCCCCCGCCACACGAAAAAAGAATTGTGATACCTTCAGTACAAGGACACCCAAGAAAGAGACTGCAAATTGTCGAAAGCTACGAACCCAAAACTCCGACAAGACCCAGGCCCGCCCTAACAAGCCCCCTCAACAGAGGTGACAGTGCTGAAGCCCGTCTAAACCGAATAAGCCCGTAGTCGTACAAGCTTCCTTCGCTCCCGGTTTAAGGACACGAAGCCAAAAGAACCGGGGTCGGAAAGTCAACTCAGTCTCTGCTTTGTCGCTTATAGGGCTCAGGAATCAGGTTTTGTGGGGTTAGGAAAAGAGGGTTGGGGAAGTAGGGCTTGGGGTCTAGGCCTAGGGATACCTGCCACGTAGGAGCGCTTGAGATCTCGGGTCTGCAGCATGTCCGGGACGCTGGCTCAAAACCCTTCTGCGAAGAAGCACATCATAGCTAGCAAGCATGGGGGTCCGCACAAGCTCGTGCGACGAATGCACAGAGCCCTTGTCGAATGCAGAATTACATTCTTTGTTCCATGCATCGGTCATTATTTCTTGAGAGACAAGGAATCGTCGGCACCACATCGCTGAGGCGCAGGTGCCTCGCAGAAGCCCGGCGACCCTGTCCGGATTACTTAGAGGCCTGTTTAGGCTTCATCCGTCGCTCCCGCAGATAGGCCCGGATCAGCAGAAGCAGCATCACACCGGCTCCAGCGACAGCGAGGAAGGCCGTGAGGAAAAGCAGAAGGCGGTTTGTGGCCTCCTTGGTGACTTGACAACTTGTAATGTAGGGGCTTTGATAATTAGAATAGGGTTTTGGGGTATCTTACACTACAATTATAATGAGGAACCCCAAGTAGTATAGGTAATTGTTAAGGCCCGTATTGTAGTCTTACACCAGGGGTTTGAGTCACTGTAGCCTTAAATGAGACAGAGTCGAACGCGCCGAGCTTCCGTTTTCGCCCAGCTCGAATCCTCAGATTGCGAGAACGTGAAGGTTCAGCCTCCTGGTGTTGGAGACAGCCCAAGGAGCATTAGCCAGAAGTGAGTTGGAGAGAGCTGCAATCACCAGGGCATCAGCGAGCAATGCTGCTTCGATCAAGTTGAAGGCCTCCCAGGCAGCCGACCCCCAACACAGAAGGCGCGCTGAACTCCGGACTCCGGACTCATGACCTTGCCCATCCACATGCATTACGCTCTCAGCTTCCGGCGTTCTCTTTGTAGGGGAGCAGGTGCACGTATGCCACCAAGGAGACGACAAGAATCACGCTGAGGCAGCCCAACTGAAGAGCAGGTGACCTTGCTTCACTAGGCGGGCTTTATGTGCATGGTTTAGGGCGTAAGTACACTGTCCTGTAGTGTAAAGTGCTGTCATGCGTGTTTTCGTCCGGCTCAGGGATGACGGCGTGAGTCTCTGAGTCCACCACAGGGTGATCGGCAGCACGGCACCCACCAAAGTAAGCAGCATCCTTAGATCCAGGGATATTGGATTTAGGATTTAGGGCGAATCGTCGGGGTATCATGCTGGTCCAAGCCACTTTCGAACCAATCGCTCCACTTCCCAAGCTGCAAATTTGTCCTGGCGCGCATGTGGTCCAAGTAGTGAACAGCCGACCATGCATGCACGTGGTCCAAGTAGTGAACACAAAATAAAAAACACTGCTCACCTTGATCCCTACGTTGCAACGATGCGGACCCCAGTGTATTCAAGCCACAGAACCTTCCCCAAACCAAGCCCAACCCTGTCTGCTCAAGGGCTATTCTGATTTATAGTGGCCAAAAAATCATAGAAGACCGAAACAGCCGAAACACATACAGTGACACATTGATTCAAGGGTGGTTCAATGGCAGACTCTGTGGGACCGAGGATACCAATAGGCCTTCAATAGGCATGTTCTGCGCCCTGCAACTCGAAACAAGCGTGCGTGTTCTTGTGCTACTTCTGCTTGCAGCTTAGAACGCCCCGCCTTGTAGGCATTCGTCAAATAGACGACGTGGGCCGGCTTCGGGGAAGTCCTAGACAAAGCTGCCTTCGTCCAGCCGAACAGTGCCAGGAGGAAGCAAAGCACGATCATGCCTGTTGCATGGCAGAGCGAAAGTCATGCCAGATCAACGCAACCAATCTGGGTGAGATTCCACCTCCAATAAGTGGGAGCCGCGCCTGTGATTGTCGCCGTTGCAGCAGGAATGTCGGGCAAGAAGGAGCACATCAGTTCTCCTCCTCGTTTCTCCTGCAACTTGAACCATAGTCAGAAAGGCAGGAAGTCAGGATTTCCGACCCAGAGTCGAGACCTCCGGAAGTCAGGAGTTTGGCCAAGGCTACATCAGGGCTAAACAGAATCGTGCCTTCTCGATCCGGTAGCAGACCAAATACTTGCCGAAGCCGGCGCAAAACTCGGGCAAGAAGCAGTTCGCGCCCACTACCAGTGCGAGCCAAGGGTCCTGCACAGGCTGGAGTGGCTCAACACTACAGCACTCATCATTACCGTCACCATCACTCGCCATCGCCATCATCATCTCACTGCAAGGCATTGACGTCAGGCATGATAGCAAAAATCAAACGACATCATTGCAGTCTCGTCTCGCAGGTCGTAGGTTGTCAGCACATAACATGTGCGTACGTGTACAACAATATGGGCATGGCATTCGGCGACAAAATGTGTTAGCTCAGTACATACATGATTCAGGGGGCATCGCTGTTCAACAGATCCCATCGGCTGCACAGCGATGTTGACCCAGAATGTTGCACGGAGAACTTTGGGTATCGCTCTACATGCTGGCTAGCTGCTAGCTGTGTTCGTGTCAGTACAAGTCTGTTGACTTCTCTCAGAATCCTGGCTGGAATTGCAGGGAATTGCTGGAAATGCATTCAGACTTCAGCATTGTACACCTTTGGAACTAGAAATACTTTTTCTGCGGAGTCGCTGTGTGCCAAGCAAACCCGTAGATAGACATGCAAAAGCGCAGGTAGATATACTGAAAGAACGAAACACGCTGACTGCGACAAACTAAAAATGCTCGGTGCTCTGTTTTGCACTGTACTGCAATCTTCAGCGTGATGGAACGCTTGCTGCAAATTTACATTTGCTATGCTAGCTGCTGTACACATACATTCGTCCGAATCATCCTGACACACAGGTCCTTGTAGATGCTCAGCACTAGAATTAGCAACGCCGGAGTCGCAGAGCGGAGGATATGAGCCATCCATAGCCTGCAATGATGACTCTCAAATCACCGGAACCTACAATGACATATGCATATGTACACATACATACATACATACATACATACATACATACACACAGACATACATACATATATATA